CGCTTAGTGCTGAGAATTCTGCCTTTATTTGACCAAACCATGTACAGAACAATTTGAACGACCCACAGTGTGAGATGTTGTCTTTGTGATGGGTGAATAAAATAGGAAATTACTCATTTGTTACAATCATGTTTTCAAAGGTGTCTAAGGAGCCTGCATACCATTTGTTACAATCATGTTTTCAAACTTACTATAGAGTGTTGGTCAAGGTGTCTAAGTAAGGAGCCTGTATACATGGGGGTGGGTGCGTAATAGTCGTAGTTAGTCATGAACGTAATGGGAGTCATGGACGTTGTGGGAGTCATGGTCGTAGTAGGTCATGGACGTAATGGGAGTCATGGACGCAATGGGAGTCATGGACGTTGTGGGAGTCATGAACGTAATGGGAGTCATGGACGTTGTGGGAGTCACGGACGTAGTAGGAGTCATGGACGTAATGGGAGTCATGGACGCAATGGGAGTCATGGACGTTGTGGGAGTCATGGGCGTAGTAGGAGTCATGGACGTAATGGGAGTCATGGACGCAATGGGAGTCATGGACGTTGTGGGAGTCATGGACGTAGTAGGAGTCATGGACGTAATGGGAGTCATGGACGAAATCGGAGTCATGGATGGACGTAATGGGAGTCATGGACGTAATGGGAGTCATGAATGGACGTAATGGGAGTCATGGGCGTAATGGGAGTCATGGATGGACGTAATGGGAGTCATGGACGTAATGGGAGTCGTGGACGTAATGGGAGTCATGGATGGACGTAATGGGAGTCATGGATGGACGTAATGGGAGTCGTGGACGTAATGGGAGTCATGGACGTAATGGGAGTCATGGATGGCCATAATGGGAGTCATGGGTGGACGTAATGGGAGTCATGGACGTAATGGGAGTCAAGGATGGACGTAATGGGAGTCATGGGTGGACGTAATGGGAGTCATGGACGTAATGGGAGTCATGGACGTAATGGGAGTCAAGGATGGACGTAATGGGAGTCATGGACGTAATGGGAGTCATGGATGGACGTAATGGGAGTCATGGACATAATGGGAGTCGTGGACGTAATGGGAGTCATGGATGTAATTGGAGTCATTGATGGACCTAACGGGAGTCTTGGAACTCTATGAGATCATGGAGGTGAGGTACAGGTTTCAAGTACCTGCATGTGCTAGGTTCCACGACCTAAAGGTAAGTAGGTCAGGTACCTGTATATACAAGTTACTGACCTACAAATAAGTGGGTCAGGTTCCTGTATGTACCAGGGTTACTGACCTATAAATAAGTGGGTCAGGTACCAGTATGTACTGGGGGGGGGGGGGGGTTACTGACTCACTTGTGAGATCTCAACCTATCAGGTATGTACAATAAACAGCCAGATATGAAACCATGACATGATACAGATGAAGCTAACCTTTTGATCTAGTTCAGATTATAAATACATGTGTGTAACAGACATCCAAAGTGTTACAGTGTGAAGTTGATTACAGTTGATGCATAACAACAAGGTCTAGACACAAACACAACACGTCTCAAAACATGTTCTCATCCTTGAAATAATCCTTGAGTGAATTATACATACAATTTAAGTAACTCAAAACATAACTGTTTAAGAGTTAAAGTGATGACAAGCGTGAGTGTTAAACATAACCCAGTGAGACTGATGTTAAAATACTCCACAAAATGAGAATCAAATAAGCCAACAAATGGAAGCACTGCTAACAAATCTGACAAATAACTTGTCATTTATGGAGGCCATGGACATGTACTTAATATACAGAAATACTTAACAGAGTAGATTCTAAATTAATAGAAGATTCCCTCATCTAGACATAAACAACATCATAAAATATTTCAACGCCTCAGTTTAACCCTTGGTAAACAGATCAATAGTGTTAGCCCCAAACATTATGGCTGGAAGTAGTTTATTTAATTTTGTGAATTAAAAACAAAAAGGTTGATGAGATTAAACAAATTCAAAATATTTATTAGAAAAATATGTGGAACTATGAATAAGGGTACCCTGGCTGAAGCATGACAATTTATTCACCACACTTGTGTGAACTCTAATATTGCAGTTACACTTGTGACATGTATACTATACAAGACTAGGAAAAAAACTGCAAAAAGTTTATGTTGAATGAAAACATTTTTCTCACAAAACATCTATACTTGTTGCAAGTTTTTTTCCCTAGACATGTATAGTATACAAGTCACAAGTGTGAACAGGTGTAATAACTGTGTGAACCAGAGATAAACACATAGCCCAGTAACCTTAAGTTTAATACATATAACATTATATGGAAAGATCCCCTTGTTTTATCTCAGTACTTTATCCTTATTATAAAAACAAGCAAAACAAAAACTTACTGAAAATGTAATAAAGAAGTTTTAGCGTCTAATCACTAAGATTAATACTATTTTTGAAAATAAAAAGGAGAAATAGTTTAGATTAAATTAAAAAAAAAATCTATTTAAATAAATTAAAAATTATACATTGATATATTTTAAAGAGAAAAAAACATACTTTTTTGATACATTGTAGCCAATTTAAAAAAAAAACAACAGTTCAGCATAAACTAGGCTATATAAAAAAACATTTAAAATGTTTTAAAAACTCAAGAGTACATGATTACTTAATTTGGTCGCTAATTTGAAAACTATGCAAAGTACAGTGTAGGACAACATAGCCATTGGTCCAGCCTATACAGTATTTACAGTTCTAATTTGTATACTTAGATTGATCAAGCATGAACAATTATCTATATAACAAAGTGAATTATATACATTAAAACATGGTGATTGAAATAACAAAATAACTCACATTACATTTCTGTATTTCACACATTATTTTCTTGACTTACTTCTGTCTTTAACCTTTAGGTTGTTTTTTTAAAAGTATTCTTTAATGTTGATGCAACATTATGTTTGATGTATGCGGGAGATGTAAAAAAATAGTTTTTAACAAGGTACATTATATTTTAGCAAATAAATAATTTCTGTTACAGCAGTTTTGCCTAACTAGATCCTTCATTTCTTTAAGCTTCTCTAGTTTTAAGACAAGCAATAAGAGTATGCCTGACCCATTTTGTTAGCTCAGTTGACAAGCTTGACCCACTTTATTGATTTGTCTCAGTTGACCCACTTTACTGATTCGCAGTTGACCCACATTCTTGATTGTCTCAGTTGACCCACTTTACTGAATCTGTTGACTCACTTGTAGAGTATATTAATTGACACACTACTGATTTCTAAGTTGGCCTTTTTTATTGATTGTTTATCTCAGTTGACCCACTTATAGATGGCATTAGTTGACCCACTTTACTGATTGTCAATCTCAGTTGACCTATTTCTCTGATTCTCTCAGTTGACCCCCTTTATTGATTGTCTCAGTTGACTGACTAGCTGATTGCATACACGGATTCACTTTACAGATTATCAGTCTCAGTTGACCCACATATCTGATTCTCTCAATTACTTCTCACTACTGACCATAGCAAGGATTTCCTAAGACATGATGGCAGGAATAGTGGTGAGTAACCAACTATTGAAACAACGCACAACACTTTTTATCTGCATATAAATTCAATTAAACATTTTAACAACAATTCAATTTAGCCCAACATAGTATATAAGAAAAGTTTTCTGCCAGGTAAAAGCCAAAAACCTGTTAACTGTAGTTTTATAAAATCTAGAAATTTTCAAATCTAGATCAACCTATGTGATCTGAAGACATAGTTACATCTGATGAGGGAAGTGGGAACTAAACTCACATATTTCAATATTTTAAATAAGTAACAGTATAACTCTAGACTTTACTAAGCTGTTCAATGATTTTTGTGCATATTCTTCCAGTTTAATCAACCTAACCTCTTAAATATCTTGCCTAATCAAATCAACAGGATGTTCCTTCAGTTCAAATAAACTCTACCTAATGATTAAAGCACCATCATTTTGAGAGATCACATGTTAAATCTAGGGCAATAAAATTATTGAAGCTAAAATATAACAGAGAAATAAAAGCAGCAAATCATCCCAAAAAAATATGTAGAAAAAAAAATTAAAACAGTTACAACTTTTATTTGTTTCCTTAATACAACTGTACAATATATCCAATTTTGTATGACAAAAAAGCTCAACTTTATTTTAAAATAAAATTTAAAAAATGAAATATACATAAACAATTTATTAACAGAAAGTTGAACATAGTATTTACAATATATCCATCAATAAAGCCTTAAATCGATTAAAAATTCAAAAACTAAATTCTCATTGTAAACTATATTTAAAAAATAAATTAAAAACTAAGGCAAACCAAGCAAGAGAACAAACAGTGGTAAACAGAACAAACCTGTAATATGAATCAATGAACAGTTGATATGTCCACGATTGGGTTTCACTGTAGCAATTAGACACAGTAAACATGACATGAAGATAGAGCATTTCATAATGGGGTTAGAAAATACATAACTATAGTACTAATGGTAGAGGTGAAAATAAAACACAGTTTAATATCACAGAGTAGAGAGAAAACATGAAAAGATTATAAGACAGCGTCCTCTGTCCAGAATGATGTACAACTTCTGAGTCAGGCCAAACTCATACACAAAAAAAATCAACATGAAACTCAAAGGTTAAAAAGTTCAGAGGATATTCCAACAATGAATCCCAAATTTTTTAAACTAAATTATGTTATTACCTATATTAATTTTAAGTCTTGGATTAGTTATTTATTGTTATTTCATTTTAAAAAAATCTTTTCTCTTGATCTTTTTATTTACTTGTGGCCTGTATATTTTTTATATCATTTACAATTTTATTAATGATTATATCATGGCATTTTTCACCATACATTTGCTAAATTAAAAAAATGGCTTGTAGAACTACTGTGTTTGTTTAAATACTTCTCAAATGTTAGTCACTGTTCATGTGATACTAATGATTACCTCTTCCAACTACAAATAATTGGAGATAGGACAACTAGACAAACATCTGAGGTTTAATGTCCTTTTTCAATCCTATGATAATATCACAGACTGACATTTTGTTGGTTTTTTATTTTTTTTAAAAAATATCTGGGTTTATAGAGACAGCAAGTAAATAACAGTCTATAATGAGAACTACTAAAAGTGACTTGATACATAATTATCACCCAGCAATTTTTACTGTGGTTTTGCAAAATTCTGATACTTAACAGCATAAACACACTTTTTTTAAAAAGAATTATTAACCGAGAGCCGCCTTAACAGTGATGAAAAAAATGTGTTGATGATAAATAAAATGTGATCAATAAATATTGACAATCCCCAGCATTAGCCTACACAGACTACCACACAAGGTTTCACATGAATAGAACCTGATGGAGATATCCTAATTACAAATGTTACATAGCACCCTTCTGATACCATCAAATCCCAAAATTATCCTTGAATAAATATTAATGATAATGTAAATAAATTTGTAACAAAATTAATTATTTTTACATTTACCCTACCATTAAAATTCAATTTACGACTAGTTCAGTAATATTACTTACAATGCTTCTATACATAAATATTTACATAAATAATTTTTTTTGGAATTATAGGAAGAACTCTTCCCACATAAATTGTTAACAACAAAAGCATTATGATAAACAAGGGCAGATCATACATGAAACACAGATCTGGAATGTAAACTAGAGTTATCATTACTGACGGATTTCACACTGCTTCTTACCAAACTGGGCGAAATGTTTACAGATTCTGTCCCTTTGTAGTCTGACAAAGGTATCAAAGTGAACCCATCAGTTGCCTCCCATTCCTGCAGCAAGAGATGACCATTAGATGCTCCTCCTGCATGCCCATTGAGGAAGTTGCCATCGCTCTTGGAGTGGGTAAAGTGTGAGGCACCAGGGGACAAACTCTTCAGTTCTGAGGTACTGCGAGTGTAAGGTAAGACTTCACTTCTGTGGGCTGCCTGGTGCTGGTCATACTTGGCCTGGATAGATCAGAGAGATGCTATCATCATTCATCAACATTCTGTCATGTTTAGACGAGGGGGGGGGGGGGGGCAGGGGAAATGAGGGGCAGGTCTGTAGTTAATAAAAGCTGGCCTCACTAACAACAATACATAACAGACAGCTCTAATTTTCATTTCTTCATATTTGTTTTTAATATTTTTGTTTGTATAGATAATAGGATACTTTTTGTGTGTGACATGTACAGTAAAATACAAGGAAATGTCATATACAATAATAATCTCAGCAAACAGATGGATGCCATTGTAATTGTCGTGGCATGAAAAGCATACTGAAACTAAGATATCTAATCCTCAAATGTACACTAATTGCCAACTAATTTTAATCATTAAAAGACTGTAATAGCCTTCAGATATTTTAAAAATGTGTTGAAAAAACATGAACAATTAAAGTTACAATTGTTTTAAGTATGTCAGAGGGGTTGGAGAGTTTTGTAAAAAAAAAAAAAAAGCAATAATTAATCAATCACACAATAAATGTAACTGGACTGATCAATCTGCATAACAAGAAAATTGTACAAATATGGAGTAAGGGGAGGGTTACCTTGTTGTAACACAAAACTCCACATATGGCCACCATCATCCCAACAACGTTAAGAGGCCCAACAGGGTTCTGAAGAATGATGAGGGAACCTCCGATGATTGCGATCCTTTTGGTGGCATTAGCCACAGCGTAACTTAGAGGTGAGACCAGGGCTAACACAGAGAAGGCAAGGACATTGTGCAGCATGTTGAAAAAACCAGCGCAGGCTAACATCAACAATGTCTGGCCGACTTTGCCACCTTCAAGCTGAAACAACCAGAAAACAAAACTACTTTATAGAATTTTTTTTTTTTTTTTTTTTTTTTTTTTACAAATTTTCTAGATGTGAAAGGTAATGTATCAAATCAAAAGTAATAATTACAGATGTGTATGTTTCAAAAGACTTTAAACGAGGCATAAACAAACTTTAGACACTTCATATAAACTTAAAGGAATAATGAAATATATAATGTATCCACTTAACTACAATAACCAAAGAATATTCAAAGCAGTAAAAATACATCAAAAGTTATATGAAGCAAGCAACTTACAAATGTTGTGTCAGCATAAATACGGGTGAAATCGTACAGAAACCACACAGGAATAAACAGTGCTGTTGATATTCTTGTGATGAGCGTCAACAGCTCTAGATGGTGATACTCTGTATCTTTAAGGCACTAGCTCAATGAATAAATTTTTGTTTATATTACATTCAGTTATGCCTATGTTTAAATTAGGTTACAATTTTTAAAGCATTTCAGTCATATTAATTATAATTAATAGAACAATGGTTCAAAAATATTTAATGCAATAATAATTATTATATACAATGTTTAAAAATAAGATATATGTTATATCCAGTTCTGATAATACATGTGAATATAAACCAAATAATAATTATAATAAATAATGATAAAAATAATGACATACCTTTTTAGTAAAAATAGTTTGCAAAGAAAAACAGAATGTAGACAAAATAGAGCTGAACAGACCAATCTTGTCAAATGAAAGTTCTGTTGCTGTTGCTATACACACACCAGTGATGATGGGGAAGAGAGCTATGTACACCTGAAAGTTGACACAAGAGGAAGACATTTATGGTAATTGATTAGCTATGATGTTCAACTGTTTAAAGCTGTGTAGAGATGAGACACAGGAAGAGAGACATCATATGATTAACTTTGTTGCATTAAGCTGCCTACAAGTAGAGAAAATTAAACTTGCAATCAACTATCATCTACTTACAGGCCAAGATTGTTTCTCTCCTAAAATAATTCTTGATAAACAAACTGTAAACAGTGGTAGTGTGGCTTTCACTGGAATTAAATATTACATCAATTAAAACTTTGCTCCTCTAAACAAAATGTTTGTTTTTACAATTTACAGAGTATACATGTTTTAAAAGACACAATGTTTGTTATGATACAGCCTTTCTCATGATAATAAAAATCCTAAGTGTAATAATAATATAAATGATTTTAAAGGCAATTTCAATGTAAAGTTACCTGTATGAGCATATGATACAGAAACTTTCCATATGCTGACATAAGAAGAAACAGATGATATGAATTTGCCAAAGGCAAGTGGAAGAATCATCACGTAGTAATATCTTTTAGGTATAGGTCTCCCACTTGGCACCTTCATTACAGTTTTGATTGGTCCCAGGAAGATGGAGGCTGTGACTAAATGAGTCATCGTCACTGTCATGGGATAGGGTAGATCTGACAGGACCACCTTGCCCAGAATGTTGTCACTCGTACTACACAAGTACCAGAGTATACATATTATGACAATTTTCATAAATTCCACATAAGCCTTCCCATCCATAGCTGAGTATGTTGGTTACTAAGGTGGTTATTGTAAACTTTACAGCATTTTCTTGTCAATGGTAATGATCTGCAATAAAACAAGTCCATTTTAAACCTGGTGTTATTATTATACACAGTAAAATCCTATGTGTTACTGTCAACATCAACGATCTATCACATAAATTATGTGTAGATATTAAATGGCTAGATTTAGATATTTTTAACAAAAAAAAATAATGAAAAATGTGTCATGTTATCTAATTACACTACAACTACTATGGTTAATATAGATGTAGGAATGTGACGTGTAACTAGGTGATATAATTTTAGAAGGACGTATACTATGGAGTGTAAAATAGTATTGTGAAATTTGAACATTATTTTCATAGGAAGACAGTGTGAATTTACAATGTAACTAGCATGAAAATTTTTAGAATTTTCTAGTATTTTATAATAATTATTTCAAATGTCATTTATATTAAAATATTAGAAATTATAATTACAAATGATTGACTTTAAAAAAAGTTTTTTTTAGGCCTATCAGTATCTGAATATTAAATCTAAATGGGCCTAGCCTATAATTTTATCATTTTTAAAAACATGCAACATCCATTGTTTACTAGATCTCTAGATCTAGATCTAGTTGTTTTTTTTACTCTAGTGCTGATCTGTAAGTGAATAAGAATTGAAGGATAAAAAAGTTAAAGTCTCTATATTATTAATATAAGAAAAGACACTTGAGATAAGTTAAAAAATAAATTCAATGTCATACTAAATTAATTATAGAACTGTAGGCCTAGTTGTTATTAATGATTAGTTAGACCTAATTATTAATTAAGTTACTTTTTTAAATTAAAGGTCTAGATCTAGAAATTTTTAATAGATGTAGTCCTTGTAGTAACAATAAATTTACTAGATCTAGGCCTTATTTAACTAGAACTTAGACCTACTAGTAGTCCTTATTTATTTTATGATTGAATTAACAGTTACTTTTAAGTAGGCCTAAATTAATTTAAAATTAAAAAAGCATTAGGCCCCTAACCGTAACCTAAGCGGCCTAAGCCTAAGAAGATTAATTATTGGGGGGTGGGGGTGTCATCCATAAACAATGTCACACTTTTTTTTTTACTATTTTCACATCTCTCGGCCCATGGTCACAAAAAGGCAGACCCCCCCCCCCCCCCCCCCCCCATGAATATTAGAAGAATCTAGTCCATTTCTGTAGGCCGAGTCTAGACTCTAGTCTAGAAAAGAAAGAGTGAAACAGGTGAGGTGAGAAAAGCGGTGAAGGGACATCGATCAACAAAGAAATCTGGATCTAGATCTAGATTTAAAATTACATTTTTTAAATTTATAAAAGGCCTACTCAATCTAGAACCTACTTAGATTTCTAGATCTAGTAATACTTTAATATTAATAGCCTAGTGAATAGAATTTATTACTCGTCCTTTATTTTAAAAATGTTTCGTTTTTCGTTGCTAGTACACGTTGAAAACGGAAGTCAAAATTATATACAATGAATCGTCACGGAGTTAACGTCGTCTACGTAAATCAGCGAATCCCAATTCCTTGTACAAGAGGTCTAAAAAAATAAAGCTATTAAGTTACTAACATTGCCAAGGTTATAGGCTAGCCTGTTTTTTTTTAAATTTATTTATAATTTATTCCATCACCACAAAAAGCCAACGCCCCTTAAATGACTCTACAATACAGCCATACCCCCTCCCCAATAACATCTGCGCCAGGTTTGCTGAGAGGGGCCCAATTATAATCAGTGTTTCTTCCAGACTTTTTTCTCCCGGGGGGCACTTGAAATTTTCGGGGGGGGGGGGGGTAGACTTTCTTCGGGGGGGGGGGGCGGACACTGTTAAAAGTATATATTTTCTATATAAATTTTATAAATTTCATTTCGTTCGGGGGGGGGGGGGGCGGTAAAAAATTTTCGGGGGGGGGGGGGCGAATGAAGAGATGCCTGGAAGAAACTCTGATTATAATTATTATTGTTGACATGGAACCACATAAAAAATTATAAATGACATTTTTAAAGAAAAACAAGCTTGTTATATAATAAAAATCTCCAAAAGAAAAAAAAAGCCAAAAAAAAAGTGCAATAACATTACACTAAATTACAGACAAAAAAATTACAGTGATAATTAATATCTTATATTTAGGTTTCCGACATTATTGCTCCTGCATAGTTTTTTTTTCAGGCTAGATATTTGAGGGTTGGGGTGGGGGTGGGTGGGTGGGGCTGTGAATCAGATGTGTCTATAACAATATGGAAATAATTATAATCCTTAATCATCAACAGTGTTTAAAGAGCTAAAACAATGGACTTTGTCCAGATAAGCCCCGCCACTATTGCAAAAAATGCAAGGGCAAAAAGTTAAGCCCCGCCACGTGTGACCTATTTCTGATGTCTAGACATCTGAATATTTAAACTTAAACGCTCGCCATAAAACAGCTTCTTATTCGTTCTTAGGGTTAAGGGTTGGATTGTGGTTAGGGTTAGTTACCAAAATACAGATCTTTTCTTGCAAATTATTAATGCCATGCACCAATTTCACACTTTTCAGTCAAATCTGAAAGTACACGTTTCATATGGATCTATTCTTTTTTTACAATATTTTTTGGTGACAGAGGTTTCTTTTGACGGGGTTTATTCGGACAAGTTTCAAAGCAACTAGATCTAGATCTAGAATCTACCAATTTATTGTCTAGTGTAATTGATTTTAAACATTTTAAGTATCGGATCATTGTTTATATCTTTTTTTGGTCGTTTGACTTACCATAATCAATTTATAGTCTTTATATTTAAAATAGTAGATCTTCTTTTAACTATATCTAAAATATATAGATCTTAGCCTAGTATTTTTCTAATAGGCCATGGCATTTAGATCTAGAATCTAGATCTAGAGCTAGATCTATATCCAGATTTTAGACCTATTTAGCAACATAGAGAGAATCACTGTCTGTATGTCACCAATTTGCTGTTATTAACTTATTATAGAAAGTAAAAAAAAATTGAATTTCATTATAAAAAAAATTCAAACCGACATTTGATTTTGTATAAATAAAAGCAGATATTGAAATAAATGATTAACTGTAGACCCCAGAAATGTTTATTGTTTGGCCCAGTTCATGTACATTATTTGCACCGTCGATTAACAACAAAGATGTCTGCTTCCTGCAGACCACTGTCTTCTAAACATTGTTGATAGGGGAGCTACTTGCTGTTACTTACAGTTAGATTAAAATACAAGAAAAAGTGGTGAGCTTAATCATTAATGTGTATAATTAGTCTAGTCTAGACATTGTTTTACAATTGGACATATTAGTCGTAAAGTCTTAAGGCTTAAACTTAAGGCCATTTTTCATTTTAAATTTTACAAAATTTAAAATTTTAGGCATAGGCCTAACTAACAGCTAACACTGCCTAACAGTCTAACAGGCTAACACAGTGCCTAACACTAACATTTTTTAATTTTTTAAAAATCAATTTAAAAAAAAAGTTTATTCTTAAGTTTAATTTTAATATTAATTTAGGCCTAATAATTTAATAAAATGAATGAAGGCTACTCTACTAATGTAACTCTAAGACTGTAGACGTCTAGATCTGGTACTAGAGTAAAGTTCCACGCGCGGTTAAAACACCGGTGCGATCATCGCCTGTTTATCGCTTCGTACAATATTTGTTTTGATGTTTTATACGAAACTACCGATATCTGCTGTAAACCTGTCCATTTCTAAATATATCCAGGTCAAATTCTTTTGTTTTTCTCCTTCTGGAAGTCGAGTTTTTAAATTTTAAAGTTTCGAGGTATGACGTCGTAGGCGGTTCTAGTTCCCCCTATGAAAAACACTAGGTCCCGGATGAGATGAATAAAACCAACCAATCAAAGCTTTTTATAACTAGGTTAACTATAAATAGCTTCTACAATATATGCGGGACACTGTACATACGATAGATAAGGCTAATAAAGCAACCTGATAGGTAAATAGGGGTGGCCGCAGCTTGGGTGTCGATTACGGTGGTTTCACATCGCTGCGTAACCAACGACTTGAGCTAGACTAGCCTAGTTCTAGATGCTCTATATTTCAAACTAAGCCTAGAATCTGTATACTTTCTATTTTTTTCTGCTGTTTTAAATTATTTCGATCATCTACTTCTTCTAAATCTAGTTTGTGTCTCTACATACAAGCATATCTAAGCAAATGTTACGTTATGTCTTTTAGTGGTTGTTACGTCCCTTTGTTATGATTATTATAGTTGCGTCCCTTGAGTCATCACTGGGTCGACTTTTAATGTCTTTAATTAATTTAATTAACATGTTTTTAATTATTATTTTTGCAATCTATTAATTAATAATACAATCAACAACACGTTTAAGTGTGTAAAATATTTATTTCAATTATTAAAATTGGATCAAAACGTATACAATACGCTCGTTGGCAAGCAGGTTCTTGCGTACGCAGGCAAAAAAAAAAGGGAAAAAAAATATCGCAAGGAGGGACGTCACTAAAACATGAATATCTTAAATACTATGCGTAGGAATACAAAATGACTCATACATATTACAGTAGAATGGCAGCGGAGTAATACAGTGCTTTCGGTTTGTTTCTGTGTGAAACGGTTATAAAATAGCGCCCGATGAAAATCGGGAATTTGGAATTTTCCGCTATGTGTGACCGCGCGTGGAACTTTACTCTAGTTCTACTACCTACCTAAAAAACCTAGTATACTCGTAGAGTAGGGGCAGGGGCGTAGCGACCCTTCCGGCGCCTGGGGACAAACTTTCAATTTGGCACCCCCTCGGGAGCAAATTTTCAATTTGCACCCCCCCATCAAACTTTCGATTTTCACCCCCTCCTCAAACGTTCGATTTCCCCTCAAACTGCAAAAATGCAGCTAAAATAACATTTTAATTTGTATTTACAACCCATTTTGGCGCCCCCTAAGGTCGGCGGGGGACATATGTACCCCCCTGCCCCCCCATCGCTACGCCTCTGAGTAGGGGTTATCCATAAATGATGCCACACTCTCACACTCGTAGGGAGGAGGGGGGGGTCTGAAATTTTGTGACGGTGTGTGATGAGGGGGAGGGGGGGGGTTCAGATGGTGGGACGTCACACTTTTGCATTATAAAAAAGCAATGTTAGAAAACGAATTTTAGCTGCCATTTTGCATTTTAGAAAACTGTTTTATAAATTGTAATAGGAATTGAGAGAGTTCAGACAAGATTTTGGAAAAATATGGATGTTTTAAGGAAAATTCAACTGCAATTTTGAGGGGGGTTGTATGCTGAGGTGTGATGTCATTTTAGCGGGGGGGGGGGGGGGGTCTGGCTTTTTGTGATGGAGGGGAGGGGGTAGGTGAAAATCGTCAAAAAAGAGTGACGTCATTTATGGATGACCCTCTAGCACTACTACTCATTGAGTCATTAATCATTAATCATTATTCATCATACTCATTATAGTATAGGCCTACAGTACATTACAGTGGCCTACAGTGTTTCTTCCAGACTTTTTTTCTCGGGGGGGGGGGGGGGGGTGGCACTTGAAATTTCTGGGGGGGGGGGGCAGTAGACTTTCTTCGGGGGGGCGGACACTGTTAAAAGTATATATTTTCTATATAAATTATATAAATTTCATTTCGTTCAGGGGGGGGGGGGGGCAAAGAGAGATGCCTGGAAGAAACTTTGATGGCCTACACCTACCAACTTAAATTAAAATTTCAGGCCTACTAACAAAACAAAGTAACAAATAGCATTGAGTATCAATTTGGTACACTAAACTAATGACTAATAGGATTTACTAATGGAATAAACACTATAGCTAGTAATTGGTAGTAGATTGACATCATTAAGTTCTGTTCTACTAATCTGATCATCTAACCTGGACTAACCTAAATCTAATTGTAAGTAATTAATTTTTAAGTAGGCCTAATCGAGACCTATCAATCTAAAATTCTAAATCAACTACTTAGACTAGCTAGAGTCTTAGAATCTAGATTGTAGAAGACTAGTACTACATTCAAATCTAGTTAATAAACTTACTTAATTCTTAGACTTAACTTAGACTAGTATTCTAGTATTACTACCTTAAGAAGTAAGATTCCATCAATGTGACAACCTAAACTTTCTAAACTGACTCTTTAGTTTATAATTTATAACAACTTAATAATAACAGTAACAGTACATTTCTAGATCTAGTAATTACTTACATACCATCACCTTTGCATTTGTATCCCTACCCTAGAATGTAATCTCCCCCCCCCCTCCCCCACACTTATATTCAACTATATTGCCTGTAAGTCATAAGTACTATAACTGTATAACATAAAGCAGTAGTGGGGTTGTTGCATTGAGTCATGACAATGAAATATAAACTGAAAAAAAATTATAAAAGAAAAAAACTACCAAAAAGTCATCTTAAACTAACTGCTAAGCTGCATTTGTTAATTATATTAAATAATAAAAAAAAACAACAGCAAACAGCTGTGTCAATTAAATAAAAAATTCTTATAAGCTGTATGCTGTAGAGGAGGGGTGTGGTTGTTCTTTATGCCTGTCTCATCCTGAACAAGACAGAGATGTTACAGAACTCATAAACATACATTTTAAAAGATAGATGGCATTATTGGAAATTATTATTAAGTCTCCTCTTCAAATAGCATGAGGCATGGATGGCAAAAGATTTAGCATTGGAGTTTTAGTCTTTTTGCAAATTGAAATAGGCCCTGCAATCTAATCCATTATTCACTAATTAATTTCTCTGTGTTGCAGATTTACTGTAAAAGAAAAGTTACATTATGCCTAAGCCTCAAGCAGTTGTGTTCATTTTAAGCATCAGTTTTGTTTTTCTTGTATTACAGTTTTATGGAATTAAGGTAATTCTGTTCAATAACTTGTTTATATCATATAATTGGTAAAAAGTTAACATTTTCTCTATAATTATCATGTCATATCACAACTGCCTTTTTTTTTTATCTTAGTAGTCTTACTTTTGTAACATTTTTTCTTTTTGGCAAAAAAATAACACTCTAATGTTCAATTTTTCACAGTATTTGTATGAGCATTTAAAATCCACAAAACCAGTGGAGGAAAGAGTTCCATGGGTAAGCATAAACAACTGATTATTAGAAGTTATGATTTTTAGGGTGCATACATTTTCATATAATTTGATTGTAAAATACTTTGCTGTGAAGTGCAAAGCTCAGAAGTGACCTATGTAATTTGATACTCAGTTATTTTTCATTTAAAAGGATTAGAAATAATAATGTATTAGTATTAGGAATCAATGAGTCTCATTGAAATTTTCTATTACCAGGAAGCAGTCAAGCTTTTTTTAAGAAAATGTGAACACTCAGGGCTACCAGTTTTTGTTGTGGAGCCAAGTTTGATTCGAGCAGTAAGGGAAGGAAGCAAGAGAAGAGTTGAACTTTGGAACATGGAAAACCATAAATCTGTGACGTTTGGTGTCTTAGAGCCTGGACTTGATCAACTGGTATTGTCTTCCATTTGCTACATTAAAACTTTAAATTTTCGATTTTTAATAACATAAAGTCTATTAGCTTAGGGCAAGAGCAAAAGCTGTTCTAAAATATATATAAAGTGTAGCTCATTATTTTTTTATTATTGTATTCTATCAGCATCAAGTTATGTCAGTTATGAAACATAAGAATTTTGAATTAAATTTTTTTTTACCAGCATCTAGTTGTCAGTTATGAAGCATGAGAATTATGAATTTTTTTTTTTTTTTTCTACCAGCATCTAGTTATGTCAGCTATGAAACATGAGAATTATGAATTTTTTTATTTTTTTTTTCTACCAGCATCTAGTTATGTCAGCTATGAAACATGAGAATTATGAATTTTGTTATTTTTTTTCTACCAGCATCTAGTTATGTCAGCTATGAAACATGAGAATTATGAATTTTGTTATTTTTTCTACCAGCATCTAGTTATGTCAGCTATGAAACATGAGAATTATGAGTTTTGTTATTTTTTTCTACCAGCATCTAGTTATGTTAGCTATGAAACATGAGAATTATGAATTTTGTTATTTTTTCTACCAGCATCTAGTTATGTCAGCTATGAAACATGAGAATTATGAATTTTGGGAGAAAAACTATCGAGACCCTCGAGGCATTTCTGTCCTTCGGAGAACCTACCGTGTTGTACCGACTCACTACCTGCTGTGGGTACCAGCTAAGGACCACACCCCAATGTTGATTCACCTGGTGGTGTTTTACAAGAGAGGAGAGTTCTACTGGCACTCCTCCATTACAGATGAAGAGCAGCCCTACAGCCTAGAAGGGTCACCCTTCTCTTCAACTGAAGGAACTTTTAGCCTGTAAATATTTAAGCCTTTTATATTGTTTAGAATAATTGTAAATACAAATTTACAGTTCAATTTACAGTAGACATCAGTTTTGCTACTTGCGAATATCGATATACTTAATATACTTACATACCTAACAAATTAAGTGATAATTGTTAAAGGAACGAAATACAAGAAAACCTTAGTGCTAAATATACTGAAGTCTTGTATTTGTCAAAATCAAAACAAGCAGTTATGGTTTGCCTAATGTATAAATGGCACCAATTTTAAACAACCCAATACACATTTTATCTTAGTAGCCTGTCAGAGCTTTTGAACTCACAAAGTGTCTGTTTTTTTTTTTTTTAAATAAAAAGAGGTATGATGTATAAATTATAAATGAAGCTATAAATAATCTTGGAATTTTTTTTTTTTTTAATTATGCAAAAAAATATGTTGTTTTCTTTTCAGATTTAACATTAGCAATGTGTATATAGATGAGACAAACATACATGTCCCAAGTGATAGTTTCACTTTCCTCAAAGAAATAGAAACCTCTGAATTTATAGAATGTAACTACACCAGAGCCTTCCACTTCTTTTCTGAGTACCCCAACAATAAGCAAGATGGGGAGCTCTTCAAGAGGAAAGGCAGACAACTCTTAGTCATAGCTAAACAAATTCTGGATTCTATGGGCATCCCATTTTGGTTGAGTAGTGGAACCTGTTTAGGTGATTTTCAAAGCATTTTATTTCATGAAAAATTATCATTTAAATTGGTCATTTTATTCATTTAGTAATAGTAAATATATTTATTACTTTACCTGCTTATCTAAAGTTCTGTTATATTTAATTATGTTAAAGAAGATTATTTTCTTTATTTCTTTCTTCCTGTTTGGTGTAAATATTAAAGCTAAGTGTAAGAAAATTTAAAACACACTATAATTTTGAATGAAAAAAATGAATTCTGTACAGGCTGGTTCAGACAGTGTGACTTGATACCCTATTCAAAAGATGTTGATCTTGGAATATTCATTAAAGATTATAGGGAAGAACTCATTAGTCTGTTGGAGGGTGCTGGTCTTGCTCTAACTCATCAATTTGGAAAAGTAAGAGAAAAAACATCACATTGTAATAACGAATTTTAGAAAGAAAAAACCATCACTTTGTGATATTTTCTAGCCACTAAGCAAAATACCCTTTTTCCATATTTTAAATGCATTCACTATTCTGTATTGTACAACTAAGTTTAATAAAAAAATTGTATGCTGAAATAGATCAAATTTAAATTGTGAATATTTGTTTGTCTCAGGTTTCAGACAGTTTTGAGCTGTCTTTCATGTATGGTGACATCAAGCTAGATATATTTTTCTTTTATTTTGATGCTGATTTCATTTGGAATGGAGGAACACAAGCTAGTACTGGGAAAAAATACAAGTAATTCAGTTTTACCTTCATTACTTACCTGCATTAGTCACTGACACAACATTAGTCATGGACACCACATTAGTCACTGACACAACATTAGTCACTGACACAACATTAGTCACTGACATAACATTAGTCACTTACATAACATTAGTCACTGACACAACATTAGTCACTGACACAACATTAGTCACTGACATAACATTAGTCACTTACATAACATTAGTCACTGACACAACATTAGTCACTGACATAACATTAGTCACTTACATAACACTAGTCACTGACACAAATTAGTCACTGACACATTAGTCACTGACACAACATGAGTCACTGACACAACATTAGTCACTGACACAACATTAGTCACTGACATAACATTAGTCACTTACATAACATTAGTCACTGACACAACATTAGTCACTGACATAACATTAGTCACTTACATAACATTAGTCACTTGCTTACAATCATCACCTATGTTTATTAAACCGACACTCCTTATATTTATTTTATCGTTATAAACATATTTAATCATGATGTTAGTACAAATATAATGTATTAGCATACGTATTTCATGTTCCAAAATATGTAGTCTTAACATTAATTGCAATATCTTTTTCTCTCAATTATCTGAAATTTTAGAAACTGTTTTATTTGTTCTATCATCTAACAGTTTTGTTTTTATTTTTTTCTCCAAAGGTATATTTTTCCACATTTTCACTTATGCTGGACAGAGTTTTTAGAGTTATGGATACGAGTGCCGTGCCCAACTGAGCCATACGTACATGCCAATTACGGCCCAAAATGGATGATACCTATACCCGGATGGGACTGGAAAGCCAGCCCTAACAATGTTATTGAAAATGGGCAGTGGCCTAAAAAGGAATGGAATGAAGTTATTCAGTTATATGAATAACAAAACTTAGTATAATGTTTATAAACTTATGTGAATGACAAGACACAATCTGATCTTTAAAAAATTGTTCATTGAAAGTGTCTTAAAAGACTTGCAGCAGTATTTGCTATTGTTTTTTCTGTGCCTTGATGTTAGTACATCACAACAGTTGTGTTGCTATCCAGGTTCATGGTTTTGTTTCTTTTACTTTTATCTCAATAGAATGATCTGAAGTCTGCACAAGTCACTGTTGGTTTTCTTAGCAATCAACAGTGTGTGAAGACAAATTTCCATTGCTGATCCATTTTATATATTTTTTCCCTTTTTTTTTTTGTTAAAATTCCTGCTTAAGTAGTCTACCGGTTTGTGTTATTGTGACTTAAAAAGAGTTTAAAAGAACTATTGAATGATGCCAAAACATTGTGACTTTAGTTTATGCGAGAGCTGGTGAATGGAGCTTCTTTAATTGTGGCATTGGTTGTTTTCAGACGTGGATGATTCTCTTTCCAACCAGGTCCATATTTGACTACAACATGGGAAACAGACTGTAAATAAATCCCTTCAAGTTTCCTGGCGAGGTTTGATCAATTGCCTCATCATCTTATGATATTAACATGAATGTTTTGTGCGTTATTTCTAAGAGCTTGGTTAATGGAGCATTTTTGGGGAATGTTTTTTTGTGTGAACTATCTGTAAAATATATTGTACCTGATCTAAGTAATTCCAACTGTAGCAGTTATAATTGTTCTGTTCCTGTTTACAGATAAGTATTGCTTATTCAGGTTTGAACAACCTATACAATAGAGTACTTGTTTGTAACAACTTTTGCTCTACATAAAACTTTAAACTGTGGTGAAATAAAGAAGATACTCTAACCTTTCAATATTAAAAATAAATATTTACTGTTTGTAATACTTCTGAATAATATAGAATTTTTTTTTATTTAGACATTCCATTTATTATTTTTATAAAAATATCCTCTATTTTGTACAGTAGTTAATTTTTGTGTAGAAAGTGGCGTAATGTTTTAGTAAGTCTTATAGTTTGTTGGCCTACCGTTTTAGTATTTGTTTCCTCAAACTTTATAACATGGTCGGTTCAGAATTTCTTACACCTGTTTTGTTATTTAATCATCTTTTTTGTTGAATTAGTCAGGGAAAGATTGATTATCTATTTATAGAATATAATTTTACACTTAGAAATCTTGTACACTTGTGTTTACAACTTTCAGCAGTATATATAATTTATTGATTTGTTGATTGCTGGTTCAGTTCAAAATTTTTTACACTGTTGCACTAGAACAAAGAATATTTGCTTTTATCCTATTTCAAATGTTGAAACCAAGTTTTGTAACTAGGCTACAAAACTTAGAGCGTTTAGGTAATGGTTTACTATGTCATCAATTTTTTAAAATCTGGCAAAACAAATTATTAATTTAGGCATTACATTTTTTTTTACCTAAATAATAAATCAGAGGTTGTTAAATCTATAATTTCATCTTCAATTAAAAAAAAAAATGATCTACAATAAACATTAACTATTGATTTTATTTATAACAACCTGTCAAATGGCATAATATGAAAATAATTATTAAATTTTATTGAACATCATGTTTTTATAAATTAAAACCTGTTGTTCTAATGAAAATTTTGCTAAATTATTGTTAAAATTGTATACTATATTAGACCAAAGATACATCCTTTTTCTGAAATACCAATTTAGTATTTCATTAACATAATCAAATTAACATATTTAATATTAGTGTCTGTTACTAAATAGTTTTTGCCTCTTATAATATGTGTGCTATTATTATAGTAGTACCATCTGCAAAAAAATGATCTATTTAGTTATTAATCATAATATGAAGTGAATATTTTTAAAATGTTGTAAAGGGGAACTATGTGAAATGAGGTTCACTAACACTAAAAAAATAAATAAACAGAAATGATTTTTCAACTGTATGAATATGTATAATCTAGATATAGAATAATTTAATTATGGTAATGAAATATAATGTAACTTTCTTGAAGAAAAAGTCTTAATATTTTGTGTAGAAATAACATTTCATAATGTAATATCTACATTTTAAATAAGAGGGAAACAAAGTTTTAATTTTTGTCAAAATTAAAATCACAACAACTGTCTGTAATTAAGTGGGTTATTTTAATCACCGTTACATTGCATTGGTCCAGGGGTCTCCAAACAACGGCCCGCGAGGTCCTCTTATCCGGTCCGCGGAGATATTTTTGTCCACGGAAAAAAACGTTTGTTGGCGATGGCTGAGGAACTTTGACCAGAAAAATTAAAGACATGCCAGGAAGAAACTGGCCCCTGAACTGAAATTTGATAGTTAATGCAGCCCTCGGACTGAAAAGTTTGGAGACCCCTGCATTAGTCTAACAAGCATAGTGCACAGGTTCTGTGTACACACAGTACATGTGCAAACACATACAACGTACAGTATTCACAAAGTGTCTATATGAATAGTAGGCTCCTATATTGCTTCAGGAGGCAATGGCTGCAAATGGAAGTGAAATCCTCAGTGTGCACACCACGGCTCTAGATGAGGAGATCATGGTTGTCCTTGTTTCATGATCCCTCATTCAACCTTTGCCGGTACTGTCCAAATGAATGCTAACTTTGGTTGCAGGAGCTGCTAAAAGGAAACCATCTTTCCTACATTGGTTGCGGTCCCCAACTAACGAGCATCAACTGCGCACCTTTTCATGTGTGCATATACTTCGTAGACACAGTGTACTTGTGATGGTAACTTTCTTTAGTTTAATTTGGGATGAAAATAGAACTAAAATAGGTTAAATATTACACATGCTTCAAATTAGCAATTAGATTGTGTAGGCCTATAGTTAGTTGTGATCTAGCTACTGTTGTGACTTGTTAAAATAGCTTTACCTCATTCTCAATACATTTCTTGTACAGAATAATAATTATCTGAAAATATTTATCTCTTAAAATGTTTTTAGAATTTTGAAAAAAATGTATGAACATTTTGTATTGTGTGATTTATGTATCAAATCTTTATTCTATTTGAATATGTCAATAGTGCATTTCCAAATTACATAAAAAGACCTATTTTTCTATGACATAACTGTGTTGTTTACTCTCTTATATATTTCCAGATGTAATGTGTAAAAATTGTTTTGGTTAATGTTTATGGTTGTGTTTAAATTGTATACTATTGCAACAGCTTTGCTGTTAGGGTGTGAATTTTTCATAGATTTATTTATTGTTTCTGGCATTTAGACTATCCTGCCAGACATTTTTTAAACTGAGATTACAATGGAATGGAGATAATAGGTCATTTAATGATGATTTATTGGCTAGATGAATGTGTTCTTTATCTGGTTCAGATTGTTGGTAAGTTTAGTTGAGACAAATTACCATCGTGTGTTCTTAATGTCTGCTTGTGACATTTTGTTGTTGCTCTGATAATTGAGATACACTGCATTGCAAAAATGCCTTGGTCAAAGCTTGATTAGATTGTTGATTCATAAGTTAAACTTTTTTCATACTAAAATTTTCCCTTTTAGTTATTGGTGAAGATAAATTCAGGTGTGAGATTTCTGTAAAACTAATGCTGAAAGCTTCTTTACACTTTTACTCCCACTTTGGACTAAGGAACATTTTATATTAAAGTATTTTTACATTTCTCCAGAAAACAAGTAGTTTGTTGTCTGTATTTTGGATTTTAAAAATTACATAAACACATATCCACAATTATTTTTCTAATGTGAAATACTTTAATAGGATCACAAAGCATGACCAGGTATGCAGGGGGAATTTGTTTCATGACCAAATATAAAGAGAGATTTTGAAAGCTAAATTTCACTTTACATTTGGTCATGAAACATATTCTACCTGCATATTGTTTACAGCTTAAAATCTTTTATGCCTAAATTTGGTATGAACGTTATGCTTTAAAAAGTCAAGATAGTAAGACTAAATCCAGAAGACACAGCCTATTGCATATCTTGACTAACAAAACAAGTAAAATAACTTTAAAAAAAAACATGCAACTTTGTTTTAAAAGATGGCACATTTAATTAATGCAACAGAAATGTACATTGACTTTTACTCAAAGTGTAAGACATCATGTACAGAAACTAAAGAATCTGTCAGTGGGATACTGTGGGGTATATATTCATAAAACAAAAAACTGATCACTTTCAATATGAACATATTAAATTTATAAAATAAATAAATAACTCTTGATTGGTAATCATCAACTAAATATCTTTGATTAAATAAAAGACTTACTACATCAGAGATGAGATATAAATGGTTGTATCAGCTTAAGCCACCAAAAACTGAATGGCTTTTCGACTTCATGTAAGGTGAAATGAGTACAATAGTGTACACAGATCTGTATAAGGAGCATTTGATTGTAGATAACAAACACTGGGTAATGTTCAATTGTAAAATATAAAAAAATTGTGCTAAGCATACAACTTAAAAGGCAGCCTCATTCACAAAAAGAGAGAAGTGGTGATCATATTAAAGTTACCAAACTTGCTGAAACTTGGCATTCCACGAGACAGGTGAAGAAATGTCTTAAAATTACGAGCTTAGGTATGTGGATCCATGGCTCATGAGAGACGATAAGCATCTTTCCCCCAGTGTTTGGGTACCCAGACTCCGATACACTCATCACCCCCAGCACTTACCAGCACACCATTTCTGTAATCAATCTGAAGAAATAAACATATTTAAAAGAAAATTCTTCTTAAAAATGTATATTGAGGACAAAATTTTAAAATGATATCTGCGTTCTAAATAATGAGTATGTTTCATCATCATCCCTTAACCCTTATAGGGGTCATTGGGGCACCACAGTTGACCTTATAATTTTCTGCCACTCTGATTAGATTTGAGATGGACAGTCCAGTCCAGTAGTATGTTTACATAGTGGTAAAAATTATAATAAAAATATATTAATTTCTTGTTTTTATTTGGGTTTAAATTTTAAAATAATTTGTTTTTATCTTGAGGTCTTAAATATAATAAATGATTACTCATAACCCAGACCAAACTAAGTTTTGAAAAATGATAACTTTATGACTGAAAACAATTTTTCAAAAATACCTTTGCAATTTCTTTGTTGTGGACGCTTAACGTGGCAATGACATCTGGCTCTTTAGTTGGTTCTAGTACCTTGACGGTACGGTCTCCTGAGCAGGTGAAAATTGCACCAGGTGTGTTAATGACACCTGTAATTTTTTCAGTATGACTCACATTGTAAAACTGGAGAAACATTAAATTTAAAAGTCAGGTGAAGAAAAATGATAAATTAAAAAAAATTTTAGTATGTGATTTTAATTTTTAGTATCGCAGTAAATAACTTACACCAGCATACTGAAATACTCCTTCAGTCCCATCATGCAAGTGGAGATGGCCACTTTTATCACCAAACCACAGCTGGTTGCCAGAGTAACTCATACACAATGGGTAGCTGTCCAGCTGATTGGGAGTAGACCAAATAAACACAACTTTTTAAAAACAAGAATTATGACCTTTAAATATCAAAACAGGAATGAAACAAATGAAGCTGACAGGACTGAAGCTGAAACATACAGACACATGTTCCTACCTTGAACATCATAAAGATTTTCCCAGCCCTACGGTCGTAAATTGATATAGATTTATCTTCACTTCCAGACAGAATAAAGTTATCATTCCCAGTGACACACAGCACTGGCTTTGTGTGGAAGGTTCTAGAACGAACATTTGATGTTCTGCGGTCAATGAAATAAACTTTCTTGTCAAAACAGCTGGCCACTATTTCATTTTCTTCTGCATACAGCGACAAGACAGGGGACTTGCATCTATAGAGAATAATCAAATAAAAATAAACTACTTGCAATTTATTTTATAAGAAACTACTTACATACTTTTAAAGAAACTAATTAAACATTGGAATTAACAAACAAAAAAATCATCCAGTTTTAGACTTATGGCCCAAAGGAGAGGTAGAGCGCAGCCATAGCATTTGAAAGAATAGAGCCATCTTTATCATTACTATGGATCCCTTGTGGAGCATAGGGTTGCAACAACACCTCTCCATTGTACTGGTTCTAGGCAATTCCTCCAAGCTGGCATCCATTAATGAAAGTCTGAACTTTGTTGCTATCAGTTTGTTTACTCTCCACATCTCAGACCCATAGAGGAGAACAGATTTCACATAACTGTTAAACAGCCATATTTTAGAAAGTGTAGACAGTGGTCTTGACGTACAGGATGTGTGGAGGGTGTTGAAGGTGTACTTCGCCTTGCTTAAGTGGCTTTTGATGTCATCATCTGCTCCCCCATCCTTGCTTACTACATTTCCTAGATATATGAAGCAATCCACCTCAGAAATAGTCATTTGACAGAATAGGGTGGCCAGACTTAGTTTAGTACAGATGAAAACATGGAATCAAACAAACAAATTTTACAATGTTCTCCAGTGCTTGTTTACACCCTCCCTTAGTTCTACATTAGTTACACACAGAGCAGCTGTGATATGAACAAAACTTACTTGAATGATGAAACAAGTTTGCAATCTGCCCCCGCGTCAAACATTCTAATGCTAGTATCCCATGATCCAGTGATGACATCATTTCCTACTGAAGTGATGCTCCAGATCCAACCCTAAACAAAGATTACGATGAATTTCCAAACATTATTACACTTACAAACATCAAGGTACCTAGCATAAGTAAAGAGTATTCAAGGCTATTTTTGTTCATCTGGTATCATAATTCTCAGCCCTTAGCATTGCCCTAGAAATGACATTGGCAGAGTAGAAACATTAATATGTCTTTAACATTGCCCTGACTGGATACTTGTGAATATAATTTAGAGCAGGACAAAGATGAAAGCTACAAGAAGGATACTGCCACAAAAATAAACTGAGTGTAAAAACAGATAACAAATCAGTCACACCCAACTCTGATGGGTACCAAATAAGGGAAAGTAAAGGCGGCTGGGCATAGTGCTGACCACACTATCTCTTCATATGCCGAGGTCACAGAAACAAGTGAACTCTACTTCACTTGCCCTATAGACCGTCAGGTTTGAAAAGGGAACTTTACTTTTGCACACCTTGTAAACACACAATGGGCATAGAGTTGACAACACTATCTCTTTATATGCTATGGTCAAAGGAACAGGTGACCTTGGCTTAATTTGCAGCATATACATTACTTTTCCACAAGGGAACTTTACTTTAAACACACAATAACAGAAAGCTGTAGTTAACACTCACGAACCAAAACATGCTCACCTCATGGGAGACTGTATTAGAATGTACCAGCATGTCCTTCATCTGGTCATCTGTTGCTGCTGGGCCTGGATACTTGGTCAGATCAATCAGGTTTAAACTGCGGTTACGGTCACCAGAAACAAGCAGGCCACCATCCTTTGGATAGTTCACACATTTCATTCTTACATCTAAATATTTACAATCCTTTCTGTATTATATCATTTTCTTTACAAACAGCAGCAAAAGTAAATCAGGATGTTATATATTGTAATGTGAGAACAAATGTGTAGCTTTCATGAAATTAACAAAACATTACAATAGACTACATCAATAAACATTTTTTTTACCTTCATAAGATGTACGGCGTCCACCTCACCATACACATTACAGGAATACATAAAGTGGTCAGTGTAGGTCTGTGTGTCAGTCCACACTCTATGGATATCTTCTCTCTCAATACAAGCTTCATCCCACTTAAAGTCTGGTGGACCTAAAAGGAAAGCATTGGAAAATGACATTCAGTTTTAATCCAGGTGGTTGTGTAAACATCAGCAGTTTAAAATTGGCAGACTCAACTAAATTAGAAAACCTATGCTCAATTCTAAAAGAGGATCTTAAAACAACTCTGACTGTTTTTTAACATGAAGTCTGACATCTATAACAAACATGATATCTGACATCTGTAACAAACCTGATATCTGACAACTGTAACAAAACTGACATCTATAACAAACATAAAATCTGACATCTACAACCAACACATATTTTGACATCTTTAACAAACATAGTCTGACATCTATAACAAAAACAAGTTCTGACATCTGAAACAAACACTGACATCTATAACAAAAACATGTTCTGACATCTGTAACAAACTTGAGATTGGCCACAAGCTTACATGACACGGCAGGATACTTTTTGGGCCACCTTTTAGAGATCCTCATCTTCCAGTACCTCTGGCTGGCAAACATGTCCTGAAATCTGAGACAGACTTTGCTCAAAGCATGTTTGATAACTCTTGCTTCCAAGAACGTTGCTATGTAGAACAAAACATCGTCATCCAGCTGGTCAAGAGTTAAGGGCCCTGCAACAAATATATTTTTAAAATATAGGTTTCGATCATACAAATCCTTTCTAAATATACAATATTATATTATGGCTCTTTAGTAATTCAGCATTTCTTTTACAGAACAATTTTTAGGCACTGTTATAATATATTGTTTAACACCATTAATGCTTGAATAAAGATGCTTTATAAAAAAAAAATTTAAAGTCAATATGTCAATATTACCTTCAAATGTAAAAGAGTTATAATGCTTATTGAAGTCAAGCTTCAAATCACTGACCCCATCAGTGTTGGTATCTGCATCTGTCATACTGGGCAGGCCATCCGAGGTGAAAGACTTGTTTATCTGATACACAATCACGCCATCCGTTTCTAGCTCTTCATGACAGGCTGTGTCCAACTCATGGTTGTCTTCCAGACTTTCCAGCCTGTTCCTCTCACCAGCCAGGTAGTTAATTTCACAGTGACCATCATCAGCTATATTCTCCTTGAGGTTGGTCTTGCAAAAAAAAGTTGAAAAATCCCCAGCCGAGGTACTCTCTATAGTGGCAGCAGTGTCATTGGCATGTGGAGCTGAGAGTGGGGAATCACAGCTAGTGCACTCAGCCGGAGCATCAGCGCTTTCTGAATGAACGTCACTGTTGCATAAAAGGTGTTTAGCTGTTTCTGTCTCCCCAGTATGATGATGGGAGCTCTCCTGTTTGTCAGGGACATCAGACATCATCAATAACCCAACAGTCTGTTTTAATTTCTTTTTTTGCTATCACCTGAGTCTCCACAAATCTTTACTGCTTAGAAATAGGGAAAGATAACTCATTTTATTTTGGTACAAGGTAATCAGGGGGCTTCTTTTACATAATCATCAATGATGTCAGCCTTCAAGTTTTGAACTGATCTATTGTTAATTTAGAATTTAAGACATTATTTCAAATTGCTAATCAAAGAATAGAAATAATAAAGCTATATAACACTATTGACCAGCAGTAAAGTTCTTACTGAGCTCTAGTTAATTATAATCCTTATAAATCGATAGACTTTTAGATTTTTATTAAAAGTAGTTTATATGCTGACTTCCATACTAAGTCTTAGTTAATTTACATTACAAGTAGGCCTACATAGATTATGATTATAAGGGGTCACCAATAAATGATTTCTACTTATGAGCTACCTCCTCCCCACTGTCACAAAAAGCCAGATGTCACACCTCAGACTACAACCCCCCCCCCCCCTCAAAATTGCAATTTAATTTTAACCCAGTCAACATAAAGTATATCAATCAATTTCTATTTCAGTTTACAAAAATAGTTTTCTAAAATATGAAATAATGTCTAAAATTCAGTTTCTAACATGTATTTTTTTCAAAATGCAACAGTGTGATGTCACACTAAACTCACCCCCCCCCCCTTCATCACAAAATCCTCCCCCCTCCTCCTCCCCCATTGGAGTGTGACATCATTTATGGATTCACTAACCACATTATTTTTTATTAGAAACTCACCACTTGTTGACAACTGGACTCAGACTAGAGATCTGACCCTTATAGTATAGTTACAGTATAAGACATAAGTACTTATACTTGGTATTTAATACTACTTTTACTAGACTAAGTACTAGGCGTAGATAAGATATAGAATCAGATTGCCAATATCTGTCCAATATCAATATGTCACTCAAGTAATACTACTGGTTTACACACAATTAAATATACTGCACAGTCTACACTCCACTCCTAGATCTACATGGCTACTCACAATGAGTAGTCCAAACAGCCTACTAAAAGTAACAACAACTAGATCTATAGAGTGCAGAGTAGAAACTCAGCAGACCCAGTACAGAGAGAGACAATCCCAGCCACAATTATTAATTCAAGTTGCAAAGTGAAGTTGGCATAAGGTTCTACATGATTCTAGATCTATAACCACTATCTATGACTAATTTTAATAGAGTTCAAACAAGCAACTTGCTCACTGTTAAAAATACATTGATAGAATAAATCGTCTTCAAATGAGTCATCGTCAAAAAGTTACAGACAAGGCATAGCCTATCAAATTTCAATCACTGACTAGATTCTAGGCCCCTATGACTAAAATGTGCAATGTAAACATAGAAAAGCAACCAAAGATCACGATTGGTTTGCTATATTTGTTGAAGCCAATCAAACGCTAGGTTGAAACTGTTAAAAACGAGAAATGTTATTAATCCTTAGTAATGAAATGAACAAAACAATTTTGTATTTTATAAAATGTCATTTTTAAAGGAGGGGGGGGGGGGGGAATTCATAAATCACGTCGTCACACTGCTGAGAGAGGGGTAGAGCTAAATACGAACTTCTGTGACTGACGATAAATGAAGGGTGCCATCTCACATTTAAAAAAAAAAAAGTATTTTTAAAATTGAATTTTATAATTAATTTCCCCAAAAATGCCTAGATCTATATAGTAAATTTAAAAATAAAAATAGACCAAGAATTCTTAAATTGATCCGTATTTGCTAAAATTGTCTTAAATAAAATCTAGTCGACATTTTCGGCTAAATCGAGTTAGCTAGTTATTTTCTATAGGAAGGGCGGCAATCCATTAATGTATTAGGCAAAAATAATCTAGCTTGGTTATATCCCTTCAAAGAAATTGACAGAAAATAGGGAATGGGTGTGTTCGGCTATGGTAAAATGTCATTGTAGGGGCTAGTTAAAAATCATTAGTTATTTACTCCCTATATCAATCACCGTTAAATAATGCTAACGTTCGAGGACTAAAATATAGTCTTTAACCACAAAATCTCATATCATATAACGTTTTTTAGGACCCCCCCCCCCCCCGGCACAATCAGGTATTACAAAATCGTCGTAAGTTTTAAAATAAATTATGGAAATCACATCCTTTTAGAAGAAATTACTGGAAACATTTTCGTTCAAAGCAGTTTTAAAGTTTAATGGTAAGTTGTGTATGGAAGTTGTATAGAATTTTTTGTCCAGAAATTCTAAATAAGAATAAAGAAAAAAAAAAGGTGTAATAAAACATTGCTTTATAACATCGCACAAAAAGATAAACAAACAGCCCACCCATTTCATGGTTCATATTTTCAAGACCTCTAACAGCTTTCAAATTATTATTTTTTTCGCCTTGGTATTAAATTTCCCTAACTGATCATACAATTACTCTGTGCCATGGATTATTCAGTTTGCTTCTTTTCAGATTTTCATATCCTCAGACCCAAAATAATAATTTCAGAAAGATCAGCAAGACAAACATCTTATTCTCCAACCCAAATGGGTCCCTAAAAATTTAAAGGAAATAAAAAAAAAATGTATGTTTTTCTTCCGGCTCAATCGATGACATCCGGTGATTGATATCCAAAATAACATCATTCACGAGTTCAACATCGTCAACAAAGTTGTTTTTAAAGATGGAGACAGGCTAAAGTAGAAAAAGAAAACACTTCATTCAATGATGAGCGCTTCTGTTAAGCCAAGATTATTTAACCTAGCTTGCACATTGAGTAGTTTGGCTGACATATAGATGCAACAGTAAGTACTTGACTTAGATGGGATTCAGCCAAAGAACCTAGTCCTAGATTTAGTCCTAGAATCTTGCTAGATCTACAATCTACATACATTCAAGTGTGGCTTTAATCTAAAGCACCAACAACAGTACCCCTATGACAATACACGATGTTGATGTACATCAGACATTAAGTACACCATACAGCAAGTACACCAAACTACTACATGTAGGCTGATATTAAACACTGTGTACATCCAAAGACACTGTACACTATCTACACCTAATACAATATACACCAAATACAATGTACTCCATGATACAATGTACACCAAATACCCTGTCCGCCAAATACCGTGTACTCTAAACACCAGGTGCACCAAACACCATGTAAATATAATCTCATACATAGTTCCCGAGTTTCTTTAAACTGTTTTGGTTTTCAATTAAAAACCCGAAATATTAGCGAAATTTGTTGCAATTTAAAAATTTCAAATATTGAACTACCCCATACACACAGTCTAAAAGACAGCATAAATGCTCACCCAAGCGGTAAAGACAGCTATTCTAACGAAAATTAACATATTTAACACAATATAGTCTCTGTCTTCTACATAGAAAACACCAACACAGTCCTTCTTCTCCTTTAATATGTGACAGAACATATGGACAATACCATATATATATATATATATATATATATATATATATATATATATATATATATATATATATATATATATATATATATATATATATATATAATGAGGTACTTTCTTTAGAAATGGACGAAGACGAGGAAAAAACGTCCAGTCAACCGTCTACACCATCAAACCATGTCAGAGCCAACAAGCTGGGCCTCCTGACGTCCGGCATCAACCGTCAAATCACGTCCGCCAGGTCGGTGTCCATGAAGCACATCAAAAACGTCAAGTCGAAGATCGACAGCCGCATTCACCTGGGGGTCGACGCGCCCCCCGGCAAGCACCTGTACGACGAGCGAGCCCCGAGGAAGTTGTTCGATGACGAGGGCATCGAGCTGCAGGACCTCTCGTCTTTCTCTGGCGCCAGCGAGGTTTCCCTGTCCAACGAGGAGCTGCTCAAGGCTGGACACTCTGGCACGATGCTCAAGACAAGTCCAGTTACCGTACATCAGCTTGGAACCAGCCCCACCCCAGGAGTTACACCGCGGCTACCTGCTATCCGGATATCCCGGCCGTCAGATGATTCGATTGTAGAGCCGCCGACGTACGAGGAAGCAACAGCCCAGCGGGCAGACTTGGAGCACGTACCTAGCGGCAGGCTGAGGCGAGGCTCCGATTTTTCCCCGGGTAGCTCCAGCGGTACTTCCGGCCAGCGCGAACCACGTGACAGGATACTGGATAAGATAGAACGGATTGGCCAGGATGTGCGCGCGCAGAGCAGCGTCGCGCCAAGAGGGAACGTAGCCCCAAGAGAAGACACGGCGCCTGTGATACCACACAGCGAGCTGAGAGCGTTAGAGAATGCAGAAACCAATAGCCGCTTTCTTAAAGTCCAGCCCAACAGTTTTGACCAAGATGGTTCAGACCACATCAACATCTCCAACACAATAGAATTAACGGACAGCCGGTACAGCGTGGCGTCCAACACAGCGTTTAGGTTCTCCCCAATAGAAAACAAGGCCGTGAACTTTCCTCAAGCAGACGACCAATTTCAAGGTCACGATTCCTCCATCAGCAAACACCGTGCAAGCCCCCTATCCGATGAAATGCGACGTCAGCTAAACCAACAGATCACAAAAGGCGGCACCCCCAGGCTGACCCGCCCTGTCTGGGCCACCGCCCAGGGGCCACTGGTGGAGGATGAGGACACAGTCCACGTGGCCATCCCACTGTTCCCTGACGACGTGCAGCAGGCCATTAGTCACGCCGTTAAGCCGCTCCGGTCCAAAGACGACCTGACCCCCGGCACGCGGGCTGCCAGAGCTGAGGAGACCACACGGAACATCAACCTGCTCAAGAAGTACGAGATAGAAAACATCCACACCTTCAACCCCCAGCCTCCCGTGGGACCGGCCCAGAAGAAGCCCTACCAGAATGAGATGTACAGAATGTTCAGCACCGGTACGGGACCCATGTTTGTCGCCAGACGACCGGCTCCCTCGGCCCCGTCCGCGGACGTCCAGGAGCAGCAAGCAACTTTCTCGTACCCGTACACAACGTCGTACGCACCGCATGGGTTTTACTACAACACGGGCCAGCCCGCGGCCACAAGGGATCTCATAGATGCAGGCACGGCCTCGCCAGTGTACCACGATATCCAGTCGTTTGAGGACCGTCATTACAGGTGAGGGTATATTTTAAATGTTTTGGTTGGGTTGGACGGAGTCTGTTGTTGATTCAAGACATGTATGTTAGAAATATTGTGGGGTTGGAAGGGGTCTGTTGTTGATTCAAGACATGTATGTTAGAAATATTGTGAGGTTGGAAGGGGTCTGTTGTTGATTTAAGACTATGTTAGAAACATTGTGAGGTTGATAGCTGTCTGCTTGGTACCCATTCTAACTGCGACGCCGTGGTCGAATGGTAGAGCGTGCGACCGCTTACCCAAAAGTCTCGAGGTCGGGTCCCGGTCCTGAGTTTGTAGCAAGAGCTGAGTCGACTCAGCTGTGGTGAGTACCTGACTTCGGTCAGGGAAACTAACGACCACACTTTACAGGTGAATTCTACTATATCTGAGTCGGCTAAAAGAAGTACAAGTGCCAACAGCAGAAAAAAAAACTTAATTAGTTAATTCGTTCATTAAAGTTAGGGTCAGGCTCAAGAGTGAGGTGGGGGTAGAAACGCAAGCCCCTTAACAAACTTGAATACGTTCTGTCGATATTAGATTATCAGTGTAGGTGTATATTTACCTATTCTTGTCGTCGTGCAGAGAACCCAGCACACCGAAACACCCGTCCAAGATAAAGGGTGGCATCACTTCCGTCTTCTCGTTGTTTCGATCCACCCCCGTCAAGCTGAAAGAGGATCGGCGTGGCAGCGACACTGTCGACCCTGCCACCACTGGTCACACCGTCAGGTTCACGGACCAACCCGCCACCCGACACTCGTTTGACAGTGTCGACCCCCCCGTCCCGTTCTATGTTCAGAACACCAAGGAGAGGCGGCCATCTTTACCGGTGAGTTGTGGGTTGTCTCAGTGGCAACCTTGCACGTGCTATACGTGGATGTTTATATCTAACTGACGGCCGTCTTTACAGGTGTGTTGATGGTTGTTTATAGGCAACCATATATATATATATATATATATATATATATATATATATATATATATATATATATATATATATATATATATATATAGTCGTATTCCTACACAAACCACCCCCCTCCCCTCTAACCACCCAACTACTCCACTAACCATCTCACTACTTCACTAACCACGCCACTACCCCACTAACCACGCCACTACCCCACTAACCATGCAACTACCCTACTACCCCCACTAACCATGCAACTACCCTACTACCCCCACTAACCACCCCACTACCCTACTAACATTGCCACCAGCCCACTAACCATGCCACTACCCCACTAACCACGCTACTACCCCTCTAACCATGCTATTACCCTACTACCCCCACTAACCACCCCACTACCCTACTAACATTGCCACCAGCCCACTAACCATGCCACTACCCCACTAACCACGCTACTACCCCACTAACCATGCAACTACCCTACTACCCCCACTAACCACCCCACTATCCTACTAACATTGCCACCAGCCCACTAACCACGACACTACCCCACCAACCACCCCACTAACAATGCCACTACCCCACTACCCCACTACCTCACTAACCAAGCCACTAACCCACTACCCCACTAACCACCCTACTAACCACCCCACTAACCACCCCACTAACCACCCCACTAACCACCACACTACCCCCACTAACCATGCCACTACCCCATTAACCATGCCACTACCCCACTACCCCCACTAACCACCCCACTACTCCACTAACCACCCCACTACTGTATCCCAGCACCACCGAGAGAGCCACTCCTTCTCCATAGATGAGTTGCTGATGCAGGTTGCGTGCTGTTGTTGTTGGCCGATTGGTCTCGCTGCCAAGATCTTGACCTGCACGGTGAGTTACCGGCTGCATCTAATTAACCTAATTATTGTAGTTGTTAAATGAATATGTAATTGTAATTTAAAGTTCCCTTTTTGATACTGACGGTCCATTGGCAATTGAAGTAGAGTTCACCTATTTCTGTGACCGCACTATGCCCAGCTGCCTTTACTTTCACTAACGCGAGTTAGATACCCATCAGAGCTGGGTAGACTCAGGGACGGTCAACGGACTTGAACCCGGATTCGAACTCGAGACTTTCGAGTTAGCAGTCGTATACTGTAGCATTTGACCATGCCGTCACGTAAAAGTAAGGTAGATAATATAAATAAATGATATAAGCACGTACAGAAGCCTGACTGTCAGTATAACAGAGAAAGGTGACTATTGTAAAGAAAACCAACCGTTGCTTTTGTCTCTATACAACACTAATGGCAAGACGTCACATTTCAGACGTCACGCAAACGAGACGCGACGTGCATGGCATACATGGGACGTCAGATGACGTTGTATGCCCTGCTAGTGGGCATCGCATTTTACATGGTCACCATCGTGTTTCTGGTCTCCGTCTTACTCACCTTACTGCAGGACAACAGGTAGACGCACGTGCAGAAGGTGAGCACCACGCATGCGCAGAAGGTGAGCACTACGCACGTGCATGCTAACCTTTGTTTCACGGAGTCGTTCCTGTCACAGAAGGTCACCAGTGGAGGTCAGAAGGTCCCAGGTCTTTGATCAGAAGCGTGCCAGTAAAGGGGGTTAGGTCATGAAATTGGTGGGTAATAGAATTTTAGTTTTTGTAAGATGCTAGAGAAGACGTGTGGTCGAGTGTTAGGTACTTGCTGTTGTTTAGTTCTTAACCTAGAGGTTAAGTTTTAGCCGAAAAGATTCGTTTGAGGTTAGGTCTTAACCAAGATATTAGGTCTTGGTACAGAGTTAGGTCTTAGCCAATAAGCTTGAGTGATATCTTTATTATATGGCCATTTTAAAAGAGCAAATGTTATATTGAAGAGAGGTGGCCGCAATAGACGATGTTTATATGAGCCGAATGATTATAAGAGCTTTAACATCACAAAACATCCGTTTATAATGTTTTTACATCGCTCATTAATGTGTGTACACATTAAACCATCACCCATTAATGTTTTACACATAATTTGTTGTTCTTTAGTTTCGTCAGGAAATAAAAACAACGATGAAACACTCTATATTTGGCTGGTGTTATATGCTGATATGTTGTTATATGGTGGTGTTGTGTTCTTATATGTTGTTATATGCTAGTGTTATATGCTTATATGTTGGGGTTCTATACTGAACCGCGTGGTTGGGTCAGTAACGTCAACAGTACACATCAAGTTATGCTGTGCTGTTACATCATTGATGTCAAGACATCTTTCTCTTTCTCTCTGTATATATATATATATATATATATATATATATATATATATATATATATATATATATATATATATATATATATATATATATATATATATATATATATGGGTGTATGTGTGTGTGTGTGCTCGTGTGTATGGAAGAGGGTATGTGAGTGTATGTAGATAGCTCATGAAGTCTATAACGTCTACCAGTAAGTCATTAAATTTGGTGTCAAAATGACTCCAGACCAAACAAAGCACAAAGACAATTGTAAAAGATAAAAGATTATTTAATACATTTGACATTTTATTTTGTAAAGTAAACTTACACCTCGAAAAGAATCAAGTAACATATGTGTTGTTCATAGATTAAACCAATCTTTTAACCAAATACATTGGTAATCGATTATTTACAGTATTGCACAGAATCGACTCGATCACAGCGTTCAGCCCATTAAAAGGGAGATAACAGGACAAATTATTGATAGTTATCCCCCTTCGATCAGCTGCCACTAAAGCCTATCATCAGCTAATATAAAACGTCCCCAGTCAAACCCACTTTGTACATTTAGAAAACGCCCCATAATAGTCAAACAACCAACATCAAGCTGAACAATCGATGCCACGTTAACCAGCCTGTCACGTATAAATGTCACGTTACTTGAGCATCACAGCAGACGATCAAGATGTTTCAATAAAAAAAATGTCTACGCTGTTTATCAGAATTTAAAAAAAAAACGTTAATCTAGGCGAAAAAAATCTTAGTAGTTTCCCTTTAGTTGAAAAAAAAATTGATTCCACACCAGTATTTTCTAAGCATAAACTCCAGATAATTTTACGCTGTACTTTCATACCACTGACCGTATATAGATACTTATAATAATGTTCAAATAATGTTCAAGTTAAAAAAAATTACTCCGCATACATTCACAAATATTTTACACATCTGTAAACCAAATTTAGTTATACATTTATCCCTAACATCTTCGCACCTAGCTTCGTTAACACGTTGAATAAACTCTGGATGAAAACCTAACGGTTTAGTGACTTTCTATTGTGCACTTAAATAAATTAGTATTTTAATTACTACCTAAAATTTCGTCGTAATTTAAAGTTATTTAACCTGAGCTAAATCATATTGCCTGTATAACTATTTAAATAAAAAAAGGTCTATTTTCTAGAAGTTTCTCTTGTAGCTGGGTATATTCCACAAGGAATTTTTCCCCGTCCAGCCGTCCACCGGCTCCTGACGCCGTGCCACCACCAGCTCCCACAGGCTGGTGAAGCGGGAGCCGTAAGCCTTGGACGCCACAAACTGGCACTTCAGCTTCAGGTTGGTGTAGCAGCTGACCACGTCCACCCCGAAGTCGTGGAACGCCCGCTTGTTGCCCAGGTCGTACACCTCCACCTCCCCCGCCACGAACGTCAGCACCCCGAACAGGTAGAAATCCTCGATCGGGATGATGGGGACTTCTTCAGACGCTAGCAGAATAGCCGCGATCAGTTTCCGTGTGAGGATGACTGCGTAACCCTTGCAGTACGGTCTGAGAATCGTTTTGTTGGGGAACATTTCCTTGCTGAAGGAGTTGGGACCAAAACGAGGTACGGGGCCTTGTGGGTTGAAGTGACATAAAATAGTTCTTTTTCCTACGGTGTTGGCGGCGGTAGGAAGAAGCCCGCGTAGGAGTTTGTCTGTGTCTACGAACACATCCTCGTCAGTTTTCATGACGTATTCAACATTCGGACAGAACTGGGTCACCCAGCGGAGTCCGGTGAGGCCTTTGAGGGCGTTGTTCTGGGGCGTGTCGGGGAAGGCGCCCTGGATGACATCACCGAAGACCTTCTGCTCCTGGTTGAGCGCGTTCTGTGCCCCGAGCGACGCCGTCTTGCCGACGACGAACACGTGCAGCACGACGAAGTCCTTGAAGGCCTGGGACGAGGCGAACGAGTTCCTGACCCGCTGCCTCTGCTCCTGGTTCTGTGGCTGCGAGTGGACCAGGTACAGGAGATCAATCTTCGCCTGTCCGTTGCAGACGTCAGGACTGTTCATCGTGAACTCCGGCTCCGGGTTCTTCTCAATTTTTTCCGGAATTTTTCCGTAGTACTCGGATATAATTTTTTTCGCCCTGTCAATGAATCCTTCAGTGACAACAGGTTCGTTGCCCTCTGTCTCCTTCAACTGACCGTCCGCTTGGTCTATTTCCTGACGCGCAACGGCGCTGTTTAACGCGGGCTGTTTGTTGCCTAGCAACGAGCTCTGACTTTTTAGGTGACCTTGAAAATGCAAGTAACCAGGTTGCGGACCTTGTCCTTGTAGTTTCAGCGACCCCAGCGCTGGGTGGAGATTGCTCTGTAAATTCAGCGCCCGCCCCTCCTCCGGCGGCTGTTGATTTGCCCGCCCCTCCCCCTGTTGATTAGTCTGAGCTAGACCTATCTGTAACCTGGGAGCTGCTTGATTAGCTCCCACAACTCTCTCAGAGTCGAACCGAGCCGCAGGTAAGTACCCAGCGCCCCCTGGCGTCGGCTCCAGCAGCACCTCCGTCTTGTCTTGGTCTAGAATCTTCTGCTGACCTTTCTGGTCCTCGGGGTCAAGCCGCAGCATCTGCTCCTGGTTCAGCATGGCGTCGATGTCGGCCTTGACCTCCCCCGCGATCTTAGCGCCCTCTGGGTAATCCACCTTAGCGCCCTCTTCATTGGAGACTTCCATCTCGATGTCGCGCGCGGCTTTGGATATCTCCACACTTTTGACATCGACCTTCTTGCTCGGGTCCTTATCCTTCCCGTCGTAATCAAAGAAAACCAAATTCTCCTCGGCCTTCTTCTTGCCTTGGTTAAACCCAGAGAAAGCGACTGCGGTACCGACAGGGTACAAGACCAGCGAACCCTGCTCCGGGTTTCTGACGAACACTTCCGCTGTGAGCACCGGGTTCTGGAGCGGGTCATGCGCATCCGATACTATGGTGTCAAGGTCAAGACGACCCCCTGTCGTATAGTCCCCGGGGGAGCAGCTTGTCTCCCCGTCTTTGGCGGGTGTGTCCGAATCCCGCGTCACCCGGAGTGTGCCGTCTGCTGGCTCCGTGGATTTGTTGAGCAGTTGCCAGACGCCGATGACGACAAACACCTGGAAGGCGGCAGGCATCAGCTTGCTAAAAATAGACTTCCGGCGACAGTTACAGCTGAAGCAGCCCTTGAGTCCGTCCATGGATTTATTCATCCTGTGAACTCTACTCACAACAAATAGTCAACAAATCCTTGAGCCTGGTTGGTTCCCTTGACTATCTGATGTCTTACATGAACTGTTTCATCTTGTATGTCATTAGAATGGATGCTGTTTGTAAGGGTACTGATGATTGGCTAGGCCGTTTGTAGGGGAACTGCTGATTGGCTAGGCCGTTTGTAAGGAAACTGATGTTTGGCTAGGCTTGGTCGTGGGGTGGGAAAAAAAGAATCAGACCAGAGAACATCTGCAGGGAATAAAATTATAAGAATAAAGTGATATACAGAAGTGGAAAAAACAGACATACAGACACATATATAAATTATATGTAGGCTTATATATATATATATATATATATATATATATATATATATATATATATATATATATATATATATATATATATATATATATATATATGCATATGTTTATGTATGGTATATAAATTACATAGGAATATATATATATATATATATATATATATATATATATATACATATATATATATATATATATATATATATATATATATATATATATATATATATATATATATATATATATATATATACCCTTCATTTAGCAATTTAGTAATATACACTAGTAGCCTACGGGTTTGAGCTGAATGGACCACAAAAGTTGTCTATTAATTTAAAGGCTGTGGTTGTGTGAAAGTAATTAATGTCCACACCATGATGCAATCGAATGTCAATTTGGTCTGTGGGGAAGACCACTGTGTAAGGCGACGCAACTCTCGGAACAGCTATTTTAAGGGAGGTAATGCGATTTTAGTTTAAAGGGAAGAAACTCGATCTGTATTTTTATGTCAAACAAGTAAACATCAATCAACATATATCTTTAAACTTTTAGATCTATAAACAAACTAATAAAGAAACATAAAAATCATAGAAAATGCGTCATTAAAATAATCAAAAGAAATCCCGGTGGGTTTCTTTAGTAAAATAATTCTAAGGTGTTTGGATTTTTTTACAAAAAAAAAAATAAAAAAAAAAATCATTACAGAAACACAAACCCTCTAAAGGAACAGAGTTGCATCCCCTAAATGACTGTTTTATGTCAATTTGCTTTCTTTCTTTAATTACTAAATATAAATTTCATTATCATGTGTTTGAAACCGAATAAACTACAAACTACTTTTTTAAAGTTTAAAAAGGCAGAATAGAAATGTGTATGAAAACTGCTAAGGGAAGAATGTTTGATTTGAGTTTTGTCTCATTTTACTCTTCATCTCATTCAGGCTGCTTAAAATATTACATTTTTTTTTTCTAACCCCACCAAAATTATATGCCTTTCAATTTCAATTTCAATTTTTTTTTTTTTTTTTTTTTTTTTTTACTTTTTTCAGGTTCAATTTTCTAAAAACCCTAGATTCCTCTCAAGCATTTCACAAAGGCAGATATTGAACTTTACCATTTTTTAGGGGCACAAAAATAAGCGTAACCATTTCACACAGGTAGAAATAAAATTTTACCATTGCAAGCAGGCAAAGATAAAACTTTACCTTTGCGCACAGGTAGAAATAAAACCTAACCATTGTACATAGGTAGATATTAAATTTGCCCATTGAAAACAGGCAAAAATAAAATTTTACCATTGAAAACAGGCAAAAAAAAACTTTACTATTGCACACAGCTAGGAATAAAACTTTACCATTTCACACAGGCAAAAATAAAACTTTACCATTGCACACAGTTAGGAATGAAAATTTACCGTTAAACAGTCAAAAATAAAACTTCACTATTGCACACAGGCAAAAATAAAACTTTACCATTTCCCACAGGCAGAAATAAAACTTTGCATTGCACACAGCTAGGAATAAAACTTTACCATTGCACACAGCTAGGAATAAAACTTTACCATTGCACACAGGCAAAAATAAAACTTTACCATTTTCCCACAGGCTGAAATAAAACTTTACCAGTGCACACAGGCAGAAATAAAACTTTGCCATTGCACACAGGCAGAAATAAAACTTTACCATTGCACACAGCTAGGAATAAAACTTTACCATTGCACACAGCTAGGAATAAAACTTTACCATTGCACACAGCTAGGAATAAAACTCAACCAGTGCAAGCAGGCAGATATAAAAGCCACGGTGGATAAAAATTTGACCGTTTCCCTCAACTAGGTGATCTACCCAGGAGGAAAGAACACGTAATTATTGCAGACAAATAAATCAACAGAACGAAAGAACACATTATTGCAGACAAATAAATTAATAGGAGGCAATATAATGGAAGAAACCTACAGTAACTCGCCTGCATGACTTAGCCTAATTATATGTTGACTGAATGCGCCTAACCTACAGATATATGATGATTAAAGTCACCTGTATGAATTAACAAACAGTTATTTGTGAAGTCACTTGAATGACAACCTACAGTTGACTGAAGTCACCTGTATGACTTAACAAACAGTTATATGTGAAGTCACTTGAATGACAAGCTACTTTTGACTGAATTTACCTGTATGACTTAAAGCACGACACGCTTTGAACACCTCCAAAAGTATCATTAACGTGTAGAATCCTGGCCAAGGTTTCTCCTGTACTGCACCAGACGGTCATCACGTGACCACCAAATGACCGCGGACAGGTGTAGCCTAGACCTATCAAACCTGTACACGTGCGCTCACATCTAGTTTTTTTAAAAATTAAAAATACCCAGATCGATAACTCATAAATATTAAAAATTTCGATTACCTCCCATGTTAGAAAATAACAAACCGCCAGAAGCCAGTAGGGAATGATTTATTAACGCTGTTAACGAATGTTTACCAAGTAGGAACATTGAATAACACCCCCTTGTTGAGAGATCGTGTTGATTGCTATTTTAACACACAACTGGACCGTGCTAGCAGTTTTGTTTATAGTTATTATCTTACGAAAAATCTACTTAAACTTTAATAGTGTGTTTTATAAACTTTTAACAGAACTAACATTTTCGCTGATAAAAATGTATGGGTAAAATTTTTTTGAGCTTACAATTAAAAATGGCACAACTAATTGTGTAGGTACTGGAGTTATTTGTATAAAATAATGCAACTAAAAATAGTATGTGTCTAGTCTCAATAAAACAAAAAAACGCTGACTCCATTTTTTATAGCAACATTTCTGGTTGTCATATTTCTCTGTCTAGTTAGGCGTTATGTTCCGGTAAGTGTTACATAAATCATACATTTACATATTTCACAGCAAGCGCTAGAAAACCGTTGATCGTGGGATTTAAAAAATTTACACACGCCTAGCCGTGTTCCTTGTTTAAAAAATAAACAGCAGCTTCAAACACATTTTTATACAACATTGTTAGGCCAGTCTTATCAATTTTTATACAACATTGTCAGGCCAGTCTTATCAATTTTTATACAACATTGTTAGGCCAGTCTTATCAATTTTTATACAACATTTTCAGGCCAGTCTTATCAATTTTTATACAACATTGTTAGGCCAGTCTTATCAATTTTTATACAACATTGTCAGGCCAGTCTTATCAATTTTTATACAACATTGTCAGGCCAGTCTTATCAATTTTTATACAACATTGTTAGGCCAGTCTTATCAATTTTTATACAACATTGTCAGGCCAGTCTTATCAATTTTTATACAACATTGTCAGGCCAGTCTTATCAATTTTTATACAACATTGTCAGGCCAATCTTATCAATTTTTATACAACATTGTCAGGCCAGTCTTATCAATTTTTATACAACATTGTCAGGTCAGTCTTATCAATTTTTATACAACATTGTCAGGCCAGTCTTATCAATTTTTATACAACATTTTCAGGCCAGTCTTATCAATTTTTATACAACATTGTTAGGCCAGTCTTATCAATTTTTATACAACATTGTCAGGCCAGTCTTATCAATTTTTATACAACATTGTCGGGCCAGTCTTATCAATTTTTATACAACATTGTTAGGCCAGTCTTATCAATTTTTATACAACATTGTCAGGCCAGTCTTATCAATTTTTATACAACATTGTCAGGCCAGTCTTATCAATTTTTATACAACATTGTTAGGCCAGTCTTATCAATTTTTATACAACATTGTCAGGCCAGTCTTATCAATTTTTATACAACATTGTTAGGCCAGTCTTATCAATTTTTATACAACATTGTTAGGCCAGTCTTATCAATTTTTATACAACATTGTTAGGCCAGTCTTATCAATTTTTATACAACATTGTTAGGCCAGTCTTATCAATTTTTATACAACATTGTCAGGCCAGTCTTATCAATTTTTATACAACATTGTCGGGCCAGTCTTATCAATTTTTATACAACATTGTTAGGCCAGTCTTATCAATTTTTATACAACATTGTCAGGCCAGTCTTATCAATTTTTATACAACATTGTCAGGCCAGTCTTATCAATTTTTATACAACATTGTTAGGCCAGTCTTATCAATTTTTATACAACATTGTCGGGCCAGTCTTATCAATTTTTATACAACATTGTTAGGCCAGTCTTATCAATTTTTATACAACATTGTCAGGCCAGTCTTATCAATTTTTATACAACATTGTCAGGCCAGTCTTATCAATTTTTATACAACATTGTCAGGCCAGTCTTATCAATTTTTATACAACATTGTTAGGCCAGTCTTATCAATTTTTATACAACATTGTTAGGCCAGTCTTATCAATTTTTATACAACATTGTTAGGCCAGTCTTATCAATTTTTATACAACATTGTTAGGCCAGTCTTATCAATTTTTATACAACATTGTTAGGCCAGTCTTATCAATTTTTATACAACATTGTTAGGCCAGTCTTATCAATTTTTATACAACATTGTCAGGCCAGTCTTATCAATTTTTATACAACATTGTCGGGCCAGTCTTATCAATTTTTATACAACATTGTTAGGCCAGTCTTATCAATTTTTATACAACATTGTCAGGCCAGTCTTATCTAGGGTCCAGGATTTGTTGGAGTTTCCAGGATTTTTTTCTATATAATCACAGGGCTGTCCTCCCCCATGTACAGGTAGTGGGTCTGTCCTTTCCCATACAGAGTTTCTTCCAGGCATCTCTTTGGGGGCGCCACCCAAATTTTTTTTTACCGCCCCCCCCCCCCCCCGAACGAAATGAAATGTATATAATTTATATAGAAAATATATACTTTTAACAGTGTCCACCT